AGAATAGTACACTAATGGATAGGGCACGCTGATAGAATAGTACACTAATGGATAGGGCACGCTGATAGAATAGTACACTAATGGATAGAACACGCTTATAAAATAGTACACTAATGGATAGGACACGCTGATAGAATAGTACACTAATGGATAGAACACACTTATAGAATAGTAAACTAATGGATAGGGCACGCTGATAGAATAGTACACTAATGGGATAGAGCACGCTGATAGAATAGTACACTAATGGATAGGACACGCTGATAGAATAGTACCTAATGGATAGGACACGCTAACAGAATAGTACACTAATGGATAGGGCACGCTGATAGAAGAGTACACTAATGGATAGTACACGCTGATAAAAGAGTACACTAATGGATAGTACACGCTGATAGAAGAGTACACTAATGGATAGTACACGCTGATAGAAGAGTACACTAATGGATAGTACACGCTGATAGAATAGTACACTAATGGATAGGACACGCTGATAGAATATCTAGAAAGTAAGCACAGCTCACAGCGTAATCCTTATACATAATATTAATAATCCTTATACATAATATTAATAATCTTTATCAACGAAAGTCAAGTTATTTAAACCTGACGTACCTCACGTGCACGATGTAAATATTTCAAACTTATTTTAATGCTTTTCAAACTTCTGAAAAAAAGGATTACCTTTTCGATTTTTTTTTATTTTACTGGAGTCAAAACGCAGCTTTCAGTTAACAAAATAAAAACACTACATTTTGAAACATGGTGTTTCGAAGTATTAGAAACAGATCCCGACGATCAAAATTCCTGACAAACAAGGACCATTTTTATGAAACATTGATCATAACGTCTTATCTATCTCACTACAGCTGTGGTTACTTCCTTTTATCATACAAGAGTACTTAGTTTAATTAATAAACACTACCACAGTCCAGTAGTGATCAGTACTACAAAGTAGAGATCAAGAGAGGCCTCACGGGCCAAATAGGTGTTTTAATTGGTTCGTCATCAAGGAACCATCGTTCTGGATCAACTGTTGCTGGTGCGCTAATAACTAACTATTGTAATTGGAATAATGGAAACATCAATTATAGACTGATTTGTACCGGTTTCAGTTTCAGAAGACACAGATACCGACTTATCTTAATATTGTCAATTCCAAGTCAACAGAAATGTTACAAGTTATAAATGTGAACACGTACAAGTGTGTCTTCGATTAGCTATGAATACTCACACGTGTGTCTCCGATTACTTGTGAACACTTACACGTGTGTCTCCGATTAAGTATGAACACTTACTTGCACGTGTGTTTCCGATTAGCTACGAATACTCACAGCTGTATCTCCGGTTAACTGTGAACACTTACACATGTGTGTCCGGATAACTGATTATTTTATAGATATAAACTTATGTTGAATATAAACGTCCCAGAAAAGAACTAGTTTCGTAACATAAGGAAATATACTCCGTTCATTAACAATGTGTTCTAGTTGTTTTAAACCTACTCGAGTAACTGAACACTTGCTTATTACAAGCAGTCTCTCTATCTAAAGAACTGTTTACTGGCTTCATAGCTTAAACAACGATAACCTGTACTAGAAAACATTCGATTTGCACATAATTCTATAGGATAAGGGGCCATAATTTAACTGTATATTTGGATAAGTCTAATCAAATTTTCTGTTGTTTTTACAACAAAGTAGCTTTGTTATCTTTTAGCTAACTTTGGAATCAGTTGAGTTTCTTCAAACATGTTCTCTGATCAAGATAGCAAAGGACTTAAGAACGTGTAGATTAACGTTACTTGTTGTTTTCTCTTTCAATTTGTAGGCAGATTTTGCGGCAGAGGACAAGCTCCAGATAAACTTATGACGTCAGGCTATCGTATGCTGATCACCTACATGATGTCAACCAATCAAAATAAACATAAAGGTTTCACAGCACAGTTTGAAGGTAAATAAAATAATAACTATTATTCTTTCACTTGACTGTTTTAATCATACTGAAGTCGATATAGAGAGTATTACGATCTACAAGCTTTCAGATTGGGAATTAATAGATGGCATTGCAGTCTACAGGCTTTCAGATTGGAAATTGATAGATGGCATAATTGTCTGAAAGAGTTGGGTTCAGATGGACAGATATCATAAAACTACAAATTGTTCTTTAGTTTTATGATCTAAAAGCGTTCGTTGAGCTTGAAATCGATAGACGACAGTATGGTATTTTCAGATGACTTACTTTCGCACAAGTATCAGATAAATTCGCTTATAACAGCAGGATTAGATAGGAGTAGTTTGTGTTTTCAAACTTGACTGACTTTTGAATCAAGCACAATCTATCATAAAATAAAGATAAAACTCGGAAGACATGACCACAGTCTATTATCGGCTAGGTATTATCTGTGTAGTCCCACACCCTTCTCTTTTTCAGAATTGATTAATGCACAACTAAAACATGATTATCTCAAACATCGTCTCTACTTCAAAATCTCCTGATACATCTAAACCGGCCTGGCATGACCAAGTGGTTAGGACGCTCGACTCACAATCTGAGGGTCGCCGGTTCGAATCCCTGTCCCACCAAAATGCTCGACCTTTCAGCCGTGGGGGCGTTATAAAGTAACGGTCAATCCCACTATTCGTTGGTAAAAGAGTAGCCCAAGAGTTTGGCAGTGGGTGGT